CAAACCCAAGGCTAATTGGGGTCCCAGAAATACACCTGAAGTCTTTTATTATTATTTCCATTTTTCTAGTGTCAGAAGTTTTACAAAGTCTTTTCCTCTCCATTACACTTTCCTGACAATAACCCTATGAGAAAGAGTACAAGATTTCTTTCTCCATTTGATGTTTCCAGCATGATTGAAAAGCAGAAAGATACCTGATTTCTCTAAGAGCTGATCAGTTTTTAGGGCACAGCCCCCAAAAGTTATTTTTATGATGAACAGAAAGCAGGAAAGTTTGAGAAATTCTACCATGGAAGGGTAGTCCCAGGGGGATCATTAATGCCAGATGCCAGTGTATAAACCTCTGAAGAGGAAGCATGGGGGGAAATGACAGTTCTGCCTCTTCAAAATTAGTGAAAAAGTTACTCTGAGTTGACACAAACATAGACTGGGCACTGACTATATATGAAGCAATATGGAAAATCAAATTTTAGAAGACCTTGCTCCCTATCTCTTAGCAATTTTCACTTTAGCTGTGGATGTACGACATACAAGGTCTGATAAAGGCACAGGATAGCAGGAAATCACCTACCTCACTCTGGGCAATACTCTTCCTATAGTTTAGTCTAAGATCACATTCTCTTTCCTGGCTTCCAAGCCATGATACTGACTCATATTCAGTACGGAATTCAATACAACATCAGCGCTTTCTCATATTGCTCTCTAGCATCTTTTTTTTCTTCTGAAATGATCCCTGAAGCCAAGTGTAAAGCTTTGCATTGATCCTTTTTCAGTTTCGTCTTATTGGATTCTTTGATGTATTTGCTATTGCCCCAAGCTATTTGTCAACAGTAAATTTTATAAATATGATAACTATGCCATTATCCACATCAAAGACTAAGATACTAAATAGTCAACACAGTAGAAAGGCATGGATTTAAACCCACTTCTTTCTGACATTAGATTTTTCCTGCTCAATATGACCATGTTCGAACTCTAGCATACTTTATTATTCAATAGGGTTTCATTAGAATTGTTGCTGGATTCGTGATATTACATTTTCTTAACTTTGGGAATCATTGGTATACAAAGGTTAGACTTTAAGAAGTTAGTGCCAGGAACAGATGAATAAAAGCAAAACATCTTGCCTTTGCAAAAATAAAAAAATGTAGGGAGAGTTCTTTGCAGTCATTTCATAAAGTACAAATTGATACAGTTATACTCTTATCTAGCCAAAACCAGTCTTAATTAAAATAAGATAATTTGTCAAATACTTTGCTAACATCCAGAAAAATATATCCAAAGCATTTCCCTGAACGTCCAATATTTCAATCTTTTCCAAATAAAAAAGCAAGGGGATTAATCTGGCATTGCCGGGCTGCAATAAAGCCATGATCACCTTTCTTTATTGTTCTTTCTATTTCCAAATGTTCACTCATCATCGCTTGGATAATCCATCCTAGAATTTTTCAGGAAATATCAATCAAGCTTAATATAATATACTGTTCAGACTTCATTTTATTTTCTTCTTTTGACAATCAGGACAATATTTATACTCCTCCATTCCTGTAGCATCACTCCTTTTTATAACCATTTCCTTATAAAATAAAATAAATTTTATTAATAAGTCTTTTCTGGAAAAGGATGTCCCTAATCCCCTAGAATGGAGTTTTCTCTCATAAACAAATGAAAATGGTCAAGCAAAAACAAGTACTACAATGATAATGATAACATCTTGGTTGCCCCCTTCCTCCCTACCAATAATAGGGCATTGACTTTTTTGTTTGTTTTTATTTTTGTTGTTGTTGTTGCCGTTGTTCTCTGGGACTGAGAATGGTTATTGGAATTACTTCGAGTATGGCTTCATTTTGGTGATTTCATTTGCAATAGTCTTTGTATTCTAGTTCTTCACCTTGCATAAGTTCAATCGAATCTTCCCATGTTTCTCTGTATTAATCTTTTTCATCTCTTCTTTCTTTCCCTTTTCTTTCCCTTTTTCTTTCTTTTTTCCTTCCTCCTTTCTGCCTTGGTTTTTCTTTTTTTAAGACTGGATCTTTCTATTTCACCCAGGCTGAAAGTGCAGAGGCCGCTTATAAACCCAGTATCATTCTGATTTGCATTTAGCCAAAGATTCTAGATATTTAATCAATATTTTTGTATAATTCCAAAAAGATTTTCAAGAAGTGTGGTCAAGTTGGCTTCTAGTCACGCCAAAGAAATAGAATAGGAATGTCAGCAGCCAATATCTGTGAGTTGTAACAACTTTGGACCCTGCAGGGTGTTCCCAAACATAAAAGGTCCCCATGACCTTGCTGATATGAGCCAATTCACTGAGGATGTAAGATAATAAAATCATATATTGAGAGCTAAAAAGAATCCTAGAGGCCATCAAGTCAAAACACCTCATTTGACAAATGAGGAAAGTGAGGTAAAGAGTTCGAGTGACTTGTTCAAAGTCACATAGCTAATCGGTATCTAAGGTGAGATTTGAAGCCAGATCTTTCCAATGCCAAGTCCAGAGCTCAGATCAAAACAACATGCTGATTGCTTGATATATGTGTGGATAAATCATATACTCACCTCCTGGAAAGGAAATGGGTGAAGATAGTTTTAGGCAGTGGACATTGTGACCCCATTGAAACAGGCAAGGCAAGATATTTGGGTAGCAAAGCAGAAGTTTTGTCAATAACCATGAAGACAGAGGCAACATCTCTCCTGATAACTTTCTAGAATTAGTCTACAAAGCAAGCTTCTCCATATAGGGCCTGCAAACTTGTTGCCATTGGGATTTTTTGTTTATATTTTGATAGCTGTGTCACAGTATACTTGGTTTCCTTTGTAATCATACACATTTTATTTTATAGATTTGAAAACAAAATTCTGAGAAGCAGCCCACAGGCTTCACCAGATGGCCCAAAGAGTCCATGGCACAAAAAGTTTAAGAAGCTTATTATAGAGGAAAGACTGTTCTCACATTCTGGGCCAGAGCTTAGGTTCTAGATCTCACACAGCAGAGCTGAATGCTCTCATGAGGAAGAACAAAGAAGCTATGTATGGAAGAGCAGATTAGCTGCTTCTTTCTAAGTATTTTGGACATTTGCTTATCCACCAATACCTGGCATCCAGAAGCAATAGGACCTTGATTGACTTTCAAGACTCTTGATATATTTCCCCTTTCTACTCATCCAACTTTATTTTGCACTTGTCTGAACATCCCTGTTTCTGTAAAGGGATTTCACTATCCCTCCAGCCTCTTAGGTTTACCATCTCAGAGTCATCTTCTACTCTTTGTTTTCCCTCAATCAGATACCAAGCCTTGCCATTCTAGGTCCATAACAAGTCTCATAACTGTCTCCTTCTCTCCATTCACACTGCCCCAACCCTAGAGTGCTAGCTGTCATCACTTTTCACCTAATTGACTCCTAATTGGGCTACCTACTTCGTTTCTCCCTTCTCCCACCTATTCTCCATGCAGCTGCCAAATTGAACTCCCTAAATAAAAGGTCAAATCATTTTACTCACTTTTCATTCAATCCATTCTTTCAATAAACAAGTGGTAAGCACCTACTACGTGCGAGGTATTGTGCTAAGCACTGGAGATACAAAAAGACACAAAAGGTAATTCAATAAACTGTGGTGGCTCCCTATTGCCTCTATTATTAACTACATATTCCTCTGTTTGGCACTTAAGGCCCTTCACAATCTGGCTTAAAAGTAGCTCACTAGACTTATTATACATTATTCCACTTTAGTGGTTTGAAATCCAAAAAGAAATAGGAACCACTAATCCATACAAAAAGATCCTAATGGGTCACATGTTGACTTAGTTTTAAAATATGTTTTCTATTTTAATTGTATTTTATTTATTTTGCTAAATATTTACATTTTAGTCAGTGTTTAAAGTGGGCTAAGCCACCTCATATACTCTTGCATACATAGAACCTAAAATAATGCTTCGCAGAGAGTCAATACTTAAAGGGTTTTTGACTGATGGATTGCTCTATGTAGTACTTCCTCTTCTGGTCAGACTATTCTGATGCTAGGCTATTTGCTTCTGCCTCCTTCCAAACTTTCAATTATCTTCTCCATGCCTAAAATTTCCCTTTCCACCTTTCTATCTCCTTCATATGCTCATATTTCCTCTTTCAAGAAGCCTCATCTACCCACCCCAGTCTTCAATACTCACTCTATCCCTTGAGCTCCTAAGCACTTAGGTTCTACACCACATTATTTAGCACTTAATGTTATAGATGTTTCATGAATGTTAAATTGTTGCCCAAAACAGATTGTTAGTTTCTTATTTCTTGTTTCTTCCATTTCTCTTCACTGTTCTCTGAATTGTGCTAATACAAGAAATTTAATGGCAAGACCAACACATTTGGAGGAATGAGGAATCATTTTGAGAACTGGACACCCATGATGAACAAGTATGTGAAACTGCCAGAATCACTTATCATTTTAGGAGCTTCAATTTCTACATCTATAAAAATTGAGATGGAAATACTTGGATTGCTCACATAATTGCTGTGAGAAAAGCATTTTTAAAGAATAAAATCAATGCACATGTGAATTGCTATTCTTATAATATATAGTAAATGTTTAATGAATGTTTAATGGATGATAGGTTGTTGGGTCAATGTCTGATGAATATCTAACAGAATTATGACTCCCATTGGCAAAGATATGATTATTTTTATGGAACAGCTAAAGAGAGTACAGAATTTCACTGGGAAATCATGTGATTAGAAATACTCAGAATCCCCTGTGTTTCTCCCCAGGTCACATTGGCTCTGACAACAGTCTCTTTGCCCAAGATATCTAAGGAATGATCTCATGATGAAATCATGGGAATCATCTACCTGAATCTGATTATATTTGGAGTCCTAGGGAATATTTTTCTCCTTTACTTATACATCTTTAATTTCTCCTCTGGTCCCAGGACAAGACCCATAAGCCCTATCATCATCCATTTGGCCTTTGTCAATATCATGATGATTCTTTTTGGGGGAATCCCTAGGACAATGCAAGTTTGGGGTTTGAAATCTTTTCTGGATGACTATGATGGTAAAATCATATCTTACTTCCAGAGTGTGTTCCGAGACCTTTCCATGTGCAGCTCCTGCCTTCTGGCTGTTTTCCAGGCAATCACCATTAGTCCCAACAGCCCCAGGTGGGCAGAGCTCAAAGCCAGAGCTTCAAAGTACGTCATTCTCTGCTGTGTTTTCTGCTGGATCTTCAATCTTCTAGTAGACATTACTGTGGTTGTGTACATAGCTGGTCCCAAGAACAGCAGCAAGGGGAGATGGAACATTGGGTACAGCTCTTTAGACATTTATGACATGAATACGATCAAAATTGTCATCCTCAAATCTGTTTATGAAGGGGTGCTGGTGGGTCTGATGGCCACTGCCAGTGGCTACATGATGCTGGTCCTGTGCAGACACCACCAGCGAGTGCAGCACATTCATAGCAGCAGCCTCACCCACAGGGGCTCCCCTGAAACACGAGCCACCAAGAACATCTTGCTGCTGGTGAGCACCTATATCTGCTTTAACACAGTCAGTTTCCCTTTTATTATTTATATGGCTTCTTCTAGGGAAACAAGGCAGGGGGTGGTACAAGCCATGGTCTTTTTTTCCCTCTGTTATCCAGCAGTCAGCCCCATTATGCTGCTCATCAATGACACCCATATCCATAGGTCTTGTTATGATCTCTGAGGAATCAATACCATCTTCCTTTTTCCTGAACCTAGATATCAGAACAAACATCTAGAGTCAAAGAATCACAGAATTTTATAGCCAGAAATAATATTGGAAACCGTCTAATCCCATTCCTTCATTCTACAGATGTGGAAACTATATCAAGCACCTTTCTTTTTTTTATTTTTAATTTGTGGAATAAAACAAGCATTTCTGTAACATGGTACAATAACAAAGATGATTGCACATGGAACTGCAAATCTACTTGGGCATCTTTTCAAATGTACAACAAAATTATCATATAAATTTCTTTTTTTTCTTCTCCCCACCCCATCCTAAAGATGACTACAATTAGACAGAATAGGTGTATGAAAATATTTATGTGTGTTTATGTATTTTGTATATATATACACACATATATGTGTGTGTATATGTGTGCATGTATATGTATATACATAGATGTAAAATTTTCCATATATACTTGTATTTATTAATCCTTTCAATGGATGCAGATAGTATCTTTCTTCATACATCTTTTGTAGTTAATGTGGATATTTATAAGTCAAAATGACTAATTTGTTCAAAGTCATTCTCAAACCAATATTGCTTTTACTGTATATAATGTTCTCTTGGTCCTGCTCATTTTGCTTTTCATTATTTTGTACAAGTCTTTCCATGTATTTCTAAAATCATTGAGCTCATCATTTCTTAGAGCCTAGTAGAATTCCATCACAATCATATGCCACAACTTGTTCAGCCATTCCCCAATTGATGGACATTCCTGCAATTCCCAGTTCTTTGCCACCACAAAAAGAGCTGCTATAAACATTTTAGAACATATAGGTTCTTTTTCTTTTTCCCTAATTATCTTTGAAAAGAGACCAAGTAGGGGACAGCTAGGTGGTACAGTGGATAGAGTACCAACCGTAGAGTCAGGAGGACCTGAGTTCAAATCCAGCCTCAGACACTTGACACTTACTAGCTGTGTGACCCTGGGCAAGTCACTTAACCCCCATTGCCTCACCAAAACAAAAGAAAAGAAAAGAGACCAAGGAGTGATACATTGCTTGGTCAATAGTTTGTTAGTTTAATAATGCTTTGGACATAATTCCAGATTGCTCTCCAAAATGGTTGCTTCAAATCACAATTCCTCCAACAATGAATTAGTGTCCCAATTTTTTCACATCCCCTCCAACATTTGTAATTTTCCCGTTATATCATTTCAGCCAATCTGGTAGGTGTAAAATGCTATCTCAAGGATGTTTTAAATTGAATTTCTCTAATTAATAATGATTTAGAGCATTTTTTTCATATGACTATAAATTGTTTTGATTTCTTCATCAGAAAAATGCCTAATCATATCCTTCGACCATTTATCCATTGGGGAATGAATTGTATTCTTGTAGCTTTGACAAAATGCTTTATATATTTGAGATGAGACCTTTATCTGAGAAACTGTCTATACATTTTCCTCAATTTTCTGCTTTCCTTCTAATCTTTGTTACATTTGTTTTATTTGTACAAAAACTTTCAATTTAATGTAATTGAAATTATCCATTTTATACCCAACTTTGCTCTCTATCTCTTGTTTATTCATAAATTGCTTGCCTATCCATAAGTCTGATAAGTACTATATTCTGTGTTCTTCTAATTTTCTTGGAAAATCTCTCTTTATATCTAGGTCATGTACCCATTTTGACCTAATCTTGGTAAATGGCATAAGATATGGATCTATGTCCATTTTCTGCTGTCAAGATGTTTGGAGACACCCCATTTCCCAGAGCTAAGGCCTAACAAGCAGGCTGGACCCTGAGCTTGGCATAACAACAATTCTTTTCACTCTGGATGATCTCACCCTCTGGCAAAGTGTATTGCATTGATTAGCACCAGTTGTTCACTGACCACCTATTTCCTATCACACCTTTTTACATTCTCACAATCCCTGCTCCTTGTAACAGCTAAGTGAACCGAACCAGCTGCTGCACTCCTGTTCCCGCCATGCTAACTCTAGTTCTGTTTGTGTCTGTGAGACAATCAATTTGGAGACTGTTCCTACAGGAACCAGGAACCCATTGGACTCACATGAGCATGCGAGGGGGGGGATGGCTAAGAATGATTATGTCATGGTCTAGCCCACTTATATATATATATAAAGCACTGCCTTTGCCCCAGCATGTTAAGCCCTCCTATTCAAGCAGGCTTCTGCTCACGAGCATTTCCTCACTTTGAAATTAAACTTCTGTTTGTGTCCTGACTCGCATGTCTCTGGCCTGCTCTCTTCATCTCCAGCCACCCACAGCTCAGAGTCCAGTTCCAGTTCAGTTGACACTTCCAAACTACTTTCCAATTTTCCCAACAATTTTTACCAAATAAGGAATTCTTATCCCAAAATCTTTACACTTGTCAAACATAGGGTTGTTATGTTTATTTACACCTTTCAAATGGGATAGATCAGGAAAGAGGTAGGGAGTGGACATGTGATTATAATTGTATAGGCAACTTCTGGGGAAGGAAACTCCTAATTTTGTAGTTTGGCACTTTCTCTGCAGTTTGGAGTCTCACTTCTTAAAATTGACTTGATTAATATTTGAATGAAGTACAGTGTCCTTTGAAATAACTAGACAGCAACCGGCTATATATTGAGTATGGGTTGTACTGGTAAATATTTAACAACCAACTCTCTGAAAGCACTCAAAATGCATATACATTTAATCTGCATTATTAACATTTTCTCCACTTTATTAAGTCTATAAATCAACAAAACAATAAATGAAGCCCTTTGTAAAAAAAAAAGGGGGGGGGATTGTAATGTTTGCTGATTTCTGAGGTGTAAGTGCTCACAGTGAAAATTTAACAAGATATATGAGTTGGCTCCAGGACACCCCTGATAAAAAAAAAAGTTTCTCTACCTCCCCTCTTTCCCCCAAAGGTAGGGTCTCCTGATGCTTTTCCAGATGTTGCCACTGCTATATCATTTTCCTTCAGACTCAATTCTCCTCTTCCCTCTACAAGTCCAATCTCAATGTAAGTGACAACTGGGAGGAAGTGTTCTGTGCAGAATATAAGTACTGTTTCTCTTGCTAGAATTAGCCCACACTATACATTTTGGAATAATCTCCATGAAATTGACACTATTTCTTACTTCATCATAATATCATTCCAAGTGTCCTTTTCCCTCCCCCTCTGCCTGCCCTATGAGAAATGGTATTTTTTTTTACAGAGGAACAGCACAATTAAAAATACATTCAAAAAGTCCAAAAGTGTGTGAAACGCATTACATTTCCATGAATGGGTGGATTGTCTTGTCATATCTTTCCACTGGATTTCTACTTGATCTTTATAATCTTGTTACATTTACTTTTGATTTTTGGGTGTGTTATTGTTCTTACCATTTACATTGTTGCAGTTATTGTGTATATTGTTTTCTTAGCTCCACCTACCTCATTTTGCATCAATTCATGTAGATCTTCCCTATCTTCTCTCTATTCATTACCCATATCATTTTTTACAGTACAGTAATACTTCATTACATTCACGTACCACAATTAGTTTAACCATTCCCCAATAATCTACATTGTTTCCAATTCTTTGCTGTCACAAAATATTTTTGACTATTTTGGTGTACATGTGAACTTTATTCTTATCAATGGCTTCCTTGGGAAATAAGACTCATAATGGAGTCTCCGACATTGGCCATTTAATTCATTTTATTTGCGTAATTCCAAACTTCTTTCCAAAATATTTGTACCATTTTACAGCTCTACCAACAATGTAGCAGTATGCCCAGCATTCCACAACTCTTCCAACATTGATATTGCCATTTTTTTTGACATTTTTTGCCAATTCTGGGGGTATAAAATGAAATTTCAGGGTTGGTTTGATTTGCATTTCTCTAGTTATTAATGATGTGGAGCATTCTTTTGGGTGACTGTGAATACTTTATAATTGGGCTTTTGAGAATTATTCATATTCTTTGATTACTTATCTATTGGGGAATGGCTATTAGTATATGTATATATGTATGTATAAGTATATACACATATAAACATCTATATACACAAATATGTATATGCAAATATGTACGTATGTACACATATAGATACAAAAAGATATATAAATAATATTTATATATAGATATAAAATATATCTATATCTGCATATTTTGAAATAAAATATATCTATATATCTGCATATAGATATATAGATCACATAAATATCTGTATCTATATATCTATCCATCTATCTTTATATCTACATGTGGTTTTAAAGATATATATGTATTATATATAAAGATATGTGTATATATAAGGAGAGAAAGAGGAGAGAGAAAAGGAGAGAGAGAGAGAGAGAGAGAGAGAGAGAGAGAGAGAGAGAAAGAGAATATCTTGGAAACCAAACCCTTGTTAGAGAAATTTGAAACAAAGATTTTTTTCCTATTCAACCACTGCCCTTCTTATCTTTAATGCATTAATGTTGTCCTTGCCAAAGTTTTCATTTTAAAGTAATAAAAGTTATCCATTTTATCTTTTGTAGTTTTACCTTTCTCTTGTTTGTTTAAGAATATATTTCTACCCTTAGATGTGAGAGGAACACAATCTATTTCTCTTCTAATTTTTTTATATTATGATCTTTAATATAAAGTTCGTGTATCCATTTAGAATGTATTATGGAACATGATATGTGTTTGTCTAAGTCTAATTTCTGCCACACTGATTTCGTGTTTTCCTGACAGTTTTTATTAAATAAAGAGGTTTTTCCCTTAGATAATTTATGTTTTGCGCTTTATCAAAAAATGACCATATATTAGGGCATAAAAACCTCATGATCAAATCCAGAAAAGAAGAAATATTAAATGCATTCTTTTCAGATCATAATGCAATAAAATTATGTTCAATAAAGAGACATGGAAAGGTAGATTAAAAATTAATTGGAAACTAAATAGTCTAACCTAAAGAATGAGTGGGTCAAAGAACAAATCATAGATACAATCAATAATTTCATTAAAGAGAATGGAAACAATGAGAAAACATACCAAAACCTATGGCATGTAGTCAAAGCAGTACTTAGGGGAAAGTTTAAACCTCTAAACATTTATATCATGAAAATGAGAAAGAGAAGATCAATGAATTGAGCAAACAACTAAAAAAATAGAAAAAGAAAATTTTAAATCCCCTCTTAAACACCCAATTAGAAATCCTAAAAACCAAAAAAGAGATTAATAAAAATTGAAAGTAAGAAAACCACTGCATTAATAATTGGAAAAAACAATAAAATATTTAACCTATTAGTTGACTTGATTTAAAAAAAAAGAAACAAGAAAACCAAATTACCAGTATCAAAAATTAAAAGGTTGAATTCACCACAAATGAAGAGGAAATTAAAACAATTATTAGAAGCTATTTTGCCCAATTATATTCCAATACATATGATGATCTAAGTAAAATGGATGAATATTTACAAAAATATAAATTGCCCAGATTAGCAGAAGAGGAAAAAGAATACTTAAATAGCCAGATCTTAGAAAAAGAAATTGAATAAGCCATCAATGAACTCCCTCCAAAACAATTCCCAAGACCAGATGGAGTCACAAGTGAGTACTACCAAACATTTAAAGAACAATTAATTTCAATACTATATAAACTATCTGGAAAAAATGTCCAAGAAAGAGTCTTTTTATGACACAATCTTTTTTATGACACAAATATGGTACTGATATCTAAATCAGGAAGAGTGAAAACAGAAGAAAACTATAGACCAATTTCCCTAATGAATATTGATGCAAAATAATTGAATAAAGTACTAGTAAGAAAATAACAGCAATGTTTCACAAAGATCACACACTATAACCTGGTGTGATTTATGCCAGGAATGCAGGGCTGGCTCATAATTAGGAAAATTATTAGCATAATTGACTATAACAATAATAAAATCAAATTGTGTGATTATCTCAATAGAAGCTGAAAAGCTTTTGACAAAATACAACACCCAATCATGTTAAAAACACTAGACAGTATAGGAATAAATGCAGCTTTCCATAAAACGATGGTTAGTAAAAACTTAAGACAATCGGCAAGCATTATCTGAAATTTGGATAAGCTAGAAGCCTTCCAAATAAGATCATGGGTGAAGCAAGAATGCTCATTATCACCATTATTATTCAATACTGCATTAAAAATGCTAGCAATAGTAGTAAGAGAAGAAAAAGAAATTGAAGGAATTGGAATAAGCAATGAGAAAATGAAACTAACACTCTTTGTAGATGATATGATGGTATTCTTTAGAATCCTAGAGATCAGCTAATTGAAATAATTAATAACTTCAGAAAAGTTGCAACATACAAAATAAACACATATAAATCATCAGCAATTCTATATACTATAAACAAAACCCAGAAGGAAGAGATAGAAAGAGAAACTCCATTTTAAAATAACTATAGACAACATAAAATACTTGGAAATCTACCTACCAAGACAAACACAAACCATATGAACACAATTATAAAACACTTTTCATATAAGTTAAGTCAGAACTAAATAATTGGAAAAATATTAGTTGCTCATGGGAAGGCTGAGCCAATATAACAAAAATTACAATTCTACCTAAAGTTGTTTACTTATTCAGTACCATACCAAACAAACTACCAAAAATAATTTATAGAACTAGAAAAATAATAACAAAATTTACCTGTAAAGACAAATAGTTTCTTGACCAATGGAATTATCAATGGAATTAATGGAAAGAAATGCAAAGGAAGTTGACCTAGCCTTACCAGATATCAAACTGTATTACAATGGTAATCATCAAAACAGTCTGATACTGGCTAAAAAAATAGAGGATCAGTGGGGTAGTTTAGGTACAAAATGCACAGTAGCAAATGATCATAATAATCTAGGGTTTGATAAACCCAAGGACTCAAGCTTTTGGGACAACAATTCACTATGTTGGGAAAAGTGAAAAGCAGTATGACAAAAATTAGGTATAAATTGACATCTTACACCAAGATAAGGTCAAAATGGGTACATGATTTAGATAAAAAGGGTGATATCATAAACAACTTAGGGGAACAAGGAATAGTTTATCTGTCAAATCTACAGACGCAGGAAGAATTTATAACCAAACAAAAAATAGAGAG